ACATACCCACCCCTATCTTACCCAGGTTACTTCCATTCTTCCTTTAAACGATTCAAAAACCAATTCCAGACTTTGCTGCAGCTACGGCAATTAACATCTCCAAATCAACGGTTCTCAGAACATTGCACGAAAAGGGAGGCAAGGGTGGCTTTTGGAGGTGGAGGAGTGTCTGTTTGGGGTGGAATGGCGAATAATGGAAAGAGTGAATGCTGAAAGATATAGAGATTTGGTTGTTAGTGATATCGTGGTCCCTTATGCTCAAAATATTGCCAATAATTGGTGTTGGTGGACGACAATGCCCGTCCGCACCGCGCCAATATCGTAAATGAGTATTTAATGGCCCACCATATTAAGAGAATGAATTGGCCACCTTTGTCTCCGGATGAATACTATTGAGCATATGTGGAGCAGGATGAAACTAAAGATTAAAGAGAGGGAAGGACGCGTGGAAAATTTTGTTGAATTGGTAAATGCTATTCAGAAAGAATGGGATACCCCAGGAATTTATAAGGAACTTGGTCAATGCTTAGGAGGGTTAACGAGTTATTACGGTTTAGGGGAGGGCCAAAGAAATATTGAAAATTATTGTTATTGTTTGTTACATTTTAATTTTATAGCATAAATTGCTTGAGGATGGGGCTAGGAGACATCACAGACGAATATAAAATCTTTCAAGAAACAAAAACGTTTTGTCGTTTTGAAAAAGAAGGAACTTTTTGGTCGTTACACATTGAGTGGTGCGCAGTTTATATAAAAATTGCCAAACTTTTTTATACTTAAGTAACCAATTTTCAAATCAATCATCCAAAAATAAATCTGCAATTCTCAAATAACATTTTCTTAATTACGCAAATCACCCCGTGTGTTGGTTCTTGGTTCAACTTGAATCTCCATAATATTGCCAAACTGACACATTTTGGCTTGACTTTGTCCTACTCGTTCAACATTACTTTACTTACTGTTCCGCTATTATTTTGCTTTGCTTTATTAAAAAGTTCTTTAAGATCAGCAAGTCGGCCAGATCAGCTTAAGCTCGCAAGGGTATGATGGCAAACGAAGTATAATTTGTTATAACTTTTAGGTATTTTATCGATTATGTAGTTTTGTTATTGCAAAAAGTTGGACTTTTATCATATAGTTAATATTCTTGGACCTTATCCAGTTTAAAATATCGACCTACTTTTTGTGGTACTTATTGGTATATTTTCGGTTCTAAGAAAGTGATCAAAAACGTACACCTCTCCTAAACGAGGTAAAATGTTACAAAACCACTTTTTACTCTAAGCACCATAAGCCACCATCAAAAAGTCCTTTTTCATTGCGAATATGGCAGACACTTAGCCGTTTTCATTTTCCTGAGGGATTTTTTAGTATGGGAGAGATTCCATCAAAAATGCTTTTCTGGATGTCACAGTTTTATCAACACCTAAGTTAGATTTTGTTTGCCCTGCACATTTTTAATTTAGTCAGAAACTCTCTTCTTCATAGCACTGTTTCTTCTCTTTTGTCATTTAAGTCCTTCACAATTTTATAAAATGTACTTTGTATAAAATTTGGCAACATGGTATCTTTATTTACTCCTTTAATGCTTTAGGAACTGTTGTTATTTTATTAAGGAAAAAGAATTAATGCACTTTTTATCTTTATAATGCTTTTACGTATCAGTGGAACTGTCGCTGGTTTTTCTCGTTTTTATATATATTTATAAACGTTTTTCATCTTGAGTTAAATGTTTTGTTACCGTTTCTTAGCTGAACGAATTTATCTGCTGTGTACTGTAACAACCGTAACAACAAAATCACACATGAATTGGTAATAATTTAAATATTATTTTATAATCCGGTATTACAATAATGGATGCAGAAGTAAGGTAGATTAACTCTATCCATTTTCATTCATTTTTTGTAAACTTTATTGGCAATTAAATTTTTACATTCCAATGGAATCAATTAATTTTTATTATTAAAACCAAGCCAACTTATTTTTATGCGATGCAAACACAAACATATTTACCTGGGTTTTATTGTTAGACATTTTATTACCCGCCTAAATTAAATATTTCCCCGTCACTTATGTGTTATCCACTCGCCGTATGGTAATGAAAAACGATATGTTATCTAGGTTAAAAAGAATTTCTTTGTGTATCTTCATCGGAGGGTAACGAAGTGGCACGCGCCAAGAAATGAAAAGAAATAAATTTTGAGTAATCGCATCCTCTTCAATATTCCTAGTGATTGGTTGTTTTTATAAGTTTATATTAAAAAACATTGCTTAACATAAATCTTTCTACTTGCGTATTATAATAAGCAACATTATGACACGCATTTGCATTTCATAATATCCTATTACGAAATTTAAAACATGGGGGATTTTTTTTTACAAATTTAGCAACACGATATGTCATTATTATTAAAACTTCGGTTAGCATATTGTTTAGATATTTAATTGTCTATAGGCGAATTTTCTATGTTGCTAGTGAAAGACGTCAAGCTGACATTTGGTACTACCAACTGCAGAATAAATCCCTAAATCGCAATAATTAATAATTCGACATTCTTAAATTTTACCAAATACAACGATTGTGGTCTACTTTTTATAAAGGGGGTTTTTAAAATATGATATATGGTTGTTTTTTCTTTTAGGTTAGTTATATTCTTAGAATGTTCTTAAATCCTCCTAAAATACAAAAACATATAAATTTGGTACTTGTATGTATTTATACATATCTAAAGGAAATACATTTTTTTTATCAAGCATAGAATAATTTTTATATTATAACACTCATAAGAAAGAAATACTTCATATTAATTAATAGTAATTAATAGAATTAATACTAGTTCAAAGGCTAAAATGTCATCATTTCAGATGAAACTAACCTAAAAATTATGTAACAAAATTCTTGAATTAAATGCTTAAAAAATAGAACCTATCGCCTCGGCAATGAAATGTATGATCGGCGATAATATGACCTTTCTCCGCCTGGTCCATAACGATATATACGCTAAAAAAGCATCGCTAGTAGCGCCACCACATGGCCGTTATCGTCGTTACAAAACTACTTTTAATAATTATTATGATTATAATCAGCTGTAAAACGCGTATGTTACAAATAAGCGTTTTTTGAGAATAAGGATGAAACTTGTTAAAAATATCGAGTATAAAAAACATGTAACGATTTGTTGTTTTGGTGGGTGATTTTCGAGAGGAAATCCTGGGTTGAGTTGGTGGAAATTCGAATAAAGAAATAAATTATTATTTAAATTCACTAAAAATCATAAAACAAATAAGTCGTCTTAATTCAAACAGCGTAATGCATTATTAAAAGCGTTGATTAAGAAAGTCTCCACTCAACGGTAAAAAAACAAAAACGGGTATTATATTATGTTTTATGTATAATATTATATTACTATAAATTTGTAAATATATTTTGTCTTTTACTATTTCAAAATTAAGTTGTCGACATTTTTTAGAGGACTCGAATATAAAAATGTTTGATTTTAAGGTAAGGTTTGTACAACTATAATTTGTCCAAACTTATATTATATATAAATTATATTGGGTAAAGTTATCATTAATTAATTCTACACCAACAAATAGGTATACGTACCGAATTTGGCAAAATATGAAAATGCAACGATTAAGTTTTTGAATTAGATTTACAATTAAAAACACAATATTTCACCATAATCACTTAGATAAAATTCACACACTAACGTAACTATATAAGCGTTGAGTTAATTAATTAATAATTTAAGGAATATTAAATCGAAATCGAGTACCTACTAAACCAAAGTTTTGCAGTTTTTACTTGCAACGCGAAACACAATAACATGCGCGATTTGGCTGTGCAATTGAAACTTTGCTGACAAAATGTTTCTGTTTTGTGAAAAAACTACCTATTCGCGTTGCGAAAACCCGATGCTTCTTTAGCGCATTGTGCAATTGTTTTTAATATTATACTGGGTGACAATATTTCCAATTAGTCCTTAACCCACCAAACTTTTTCCTGTACCCTTTGTTAAATCTAATAAAAAAAAATAAGATTCCTTGGTTTACTTACTACAATGTTTGTCTGTTGCGTTTTTTTCGATAACTTGCTTCTTGTAAAAGCATTAGGTTTTCGATTTAAGGCTGTTACGGCCGTATTTGTTGAGAAAAACTGAATTTTCGAGTTTACACTGTTGATTAAATATTCTTATCCGACGTTTTGTCTCTTAATACTCAAGACATCTTAAGAGATTAAACTGAAACAACCAAGAAACTCAGTTTTAGTTTAATTCCTGAAGAATTTTTAGTGAAGATGTCTCGAGACGAAACGTTGAACGAAAATACGGGTATTTTGTTTATTTCTACCGAACATTTGGACTGTTAAATGAACGTCAGGCACATGCGCAATACGAAAATATGTCCCTGGCTTCCATCTGACAGTCGTAATCCTCAGTATGAACTATCCTAATATAATAAAACAAATTAGGAATAAAAAATAAAAGAAAAATAAGAAGAAAAATAAGTCAAATTTTACCACAGAATCATTCAAAAAACTGCCTAATAAAGGGTTTCTCAGAAAAAACAACACTTGTCACTATTTTGGAAAACTACATTTGACAAGTAAATTTGCTATACTTTTGCATCAACCGATAAAATTTGTATTTTAGGCTTAGTTTTGAAATATTGTAGGTTCTTTAAATTAACTCAACACAAAAAAAAATTCCATTTCATTCACTGATATAGGAAAAAAGCAGTTTTAATTGAACTGTGTATGTTTTTTAGTAAATGTTAATTTTACCAGAAACCTGTTATCTTATTGTTAATTTATAAAATACATCAAGCGTAATTTACAAAAACAAAAATGAATTGTATTTTATGTTTTCCAAGATTTGACAATTATGACAAAAAAAGTGATCAAATAAAGTAATATTCACTAAAATTTAACTAAATTTAAACATAAATATGTATCTTTATAAACATTGTGTTCTTATTTTGATTTTTAATGTTTCTAGTTCCTGCCAAGTCCGGATTAGCTATGGCCATATATCCAGAAGAGTCAGCAGTCTCCTGTTCCACTTTTGGAGTATTTCCAAAACCAGAAATTGAAATAACAGTTACAGGGTAAGAATATAGACACACAAAACACAAAACACAAACTAATTATTTTAATATATTTTTAGTAACGGTACCCACATCATAGACGATGAAGAAATAGTAGTAGAAGACGAAGATGGTCTCTTCAACGTTACAAAAATCTTCAGATTTAATAACGAGACAATTGTCAACACAATTATGTTCACATGTAATATGAGCATACCCGGAACGGAGTACACCGAAGTCAAGTCTTTGAATCATTCTATAGGTAAATATATCCATGACGCTTATGCAACCATTTCAACGCAGTTGTGTGGTGACTATCTATATTTGTTTTTAGTAGTTAATAGGTTTTGTGGCTGCATCTTTAAAAATCTAATTTTATACGGGGTTTTCTATAAATGACTTAAGGTTATAACTAAAAATTATTTCATTTGTTCACCGGCTTGAAAACGCCCCAAAAAAATCGAATGCACTAAATCACACTATCGAGGTGGCCAATAGATAGAAAGACTTCCTGAAATAACACGTTTGGTGAACTTCGCTTTAGTAATTGTATTTCTCTTATAATAACTTTTTCACAAATCGGTTCAGAAGTACCAATTTATTTAAACTTCCGTATACAGCCTCAAATGTTTAGTACTTTAGGCCTTGTATGATTAGATGACCAACATTATGAAGTATTATGACTTGAATTTTGATAAAAATATTTTTCCTATTTTTCCATTAACTAATGTACGAAATTTAACCTGAACAAATTATTGTTTAATAGTGTTTATAACGAAGTTAATTATGGAAAACCCTAGAGCTTAATGTGTTTCATTTATTTTTGTTTGTCTAATATTTAAACACCCTCACTCAAGATTTAAGGACCGAATCGGACCAACTATAAAGTCCCTAACCTTTGGAATTTATGATCTTAAACATGCAGCAACTTAAAACAAAATGTAGAAACTTCTTCTATAATGTGTACATAAATGTTAAATCGACTAATTTTTATAAAACAGAAGAAGGACCCGAACCGCAAAACTATGAGTCAAATATTGTCGAAGACTTTTATTACCCTGAAACTGTATACTTCTTTTCTAACTCATCTGGGAACAAGAACAGCTCAGCTCAAGGTATTATGAGAATTACTAACTAGCATGTTTATTTAGTGTTTTTTTGGTATGGTTTAGCTTTTTATGCAAAATGACGAAATGTACTTTAAAAAGTTGTACTCTTTAGTTATGAATATTAATATTATTTTTTATTGTTTTACTTATTAAAACCATTAAAACCATTTTTACTTACATATTATGTTTGTTAGACTGGCGTATAGCACATTTCGTCACTTTGCAGCTTCTATTTAAAATATAACACTTTTATAACCTTTTCAATAAGGAGTACATAGAAAAATCAATGTTCTTTTTGAATGCTTTTATTTGTAAAATTAATTATTTACTTAATATATTACATCACTACTCATATATTATACACATACACTTAAAATTATATTGTATATTTATAAGATGTATGTTTGGTCAGTGTGCTCGCACTGGATGCTTTAAAGGATAAACGTAGATGTAGCATTAATACATCCGATGTTTTGATTTTTATGGAACCACTTAGGTGCGATGTATGATACATTTTTATTAAAGATATTTTAAAACATTTACAATAAAGGCATTGTTTCTCAAATTCTCTTTTAATATATTTAACGATAATTAATAATTTAATGTAACTGTCCAAATTAATTATTAATGTAATCATTATTATAATTGATTGTGAAATTGTTGAAGAAATAGAATTTTTATTGCGTATAAAATAGAAATGCATTTCCATTGTGATTTTTGAGAACTTGTTGTTTTGGCTAAATAACCTTAAGACTATTTATCCATGTTTAAGCGCGTTTGCTGAATTTCAATTTAAGACATATTGCACTTAATTTAACTTTAAATTTAATTATATTTATATAGTAGCAACAAGTGTTAATCCCTTTTTCCGGAGAGCGTCAAAAATTATGCTCCACACCTCAAAGTCCCACCACGTGACCACGTACGGAACGCAGTCTTCTGAAAATTTAAATGAAAGAAATAATATTTATAGTGTTACCGCTTATGTTTAGGCGTTCACAATAATAATGGTTGGTTTAAGAATTTTTGTGCATTGGGTGTACATTTCTCCATAAAATAGTTTTAACTAAACAGCATTTATTAAAAAAAATCTAACTTCTCTATTATGAAATAAGAATATCTGTATCAAAGGTAGGTTAATGTATTAGAACAAAAAATATCATCTAATTTTGTATTATAAGGTTAGAAAAATCTATTTTGACCAAAATAAATAAGTGGATTATTTGGAAAAGTGTGTTAATATGGTCATAAATAAATATAGGTATACTAAATAATTGTTGAATATGGTTCAAATTAAATTGAAGCTTTTATACTTCTAATGACAAAACTTGTGCATACCTCTCGGCATACCTACTTTAAGATAGATTATAAGAAAACAAACAATTTTTAGAGAAACTTGCAATGTGAAAATATTTAATACCCCCATGACATGTGATTTAATAAAATTTTTAAAGTTATAATGATTTTTCGATGTAGATCAAGTTCAGTCAAAGCTTTTTAACTATTTGTATTGACAAAACTTTATGTAGGTACACTTTAAGCTGGATAAGAAAAACTTCCACATTTTTAAATACCATATTATACAGTCTTTTAAATAATTTAAAATACTTATTTATCTTGGTAATTTTTTCTAACCTTAAAATTACAAAATTAGATGATATTTTTGTTATAATACCTATATTAACCTACCTTTAAAACAGATATTCTTTTTCCATAATAGATAAGCTAGATTTTTTTTAATAAATGCTGTTTAGTTAAAATTATTTTATGGAGAAAACCAGATATTTAGACCAAATGCACAAAAATATTACTTATTTGGCACCATACACTTTATAATTTCATTTAATGCAGTATTTATATTCTTAAATTCTTAAACCATCCATTGTTATTGTAATGTTAAAAAGATTTATACGTTTTTAACGCCTAAACATAATATTATTTCTTTCGTTGACTATACTTTGACAGATACATAACCTAAAAAGCCTTAAATGCCAAATTTTCAAAAGACTGCGTTCCGTACGTGGTCACGTGGTGGGACTTTGAGGAGTGGAGCATAGTATATCAAAATTATGTAAAGTCATCTAAAACATTTCCAGAATACACTACATTTTATTACAGTTAAACATTGTTACCCACACATAAAATAAATATTTTTAAAACTTTAATAACTTTAATAATTTCAGCTAATGAAACTACTGTTTTTGAATATGGTATGTAATAAGGTCCCTGTTTAATAAAATGATTTTAAATTGATTTTTAACCCTTTATCCCTAATGTAGTTTGTATGACACATGTTATTTATTTTGCAGTGTAGTTTTAAAATACTTAAGATTTTAAATTATTGTTTTTGTTTCCTAATAATACTACATATAAATAGTTGTTACTAAATGGCATTTGGTATTTTATTCCCAAGACTTTACCTACAAGTTTTTTACATTTTATTATTAATTTATACAAAACACACGTCCAATAAATTTTTTATTTTTCAGAAAATTCAGCGATTTCATCATATTTCAGCCCCACACCATGTGCTACAATATTAACAATCCTACTATTCTACTTAGTAAAGTGATTATTTTTAATTTAAAATAATTGTTTGTGATAATTTTACCAAAATAATTGTATAATATGTAAATAAAAATATATTTTTATCTTGTAAAATTTGCTACACCAAAGTAAAAATCAAAGATCATTGTAAATATCTATTAACATGTAAGTTATTTATTTTTTTGTAATAACTAGTCTGATCGATCTTAATAGTATATATATATAAGTATATCTGTACCCCAGAACCAAACTGTATTAAGCCACACTTTTAAAATTGTTCAGGATTAAGGTTGTAAACGCATACATAAAGAAAGTATCGTTTTATTTATGAAAAGTAGAATGGGGCGGTTGATATTGTTACTTTTAGAAATAAAAAATAAAATGGACTTAATACTATATGGCTATTTGCTAAACAGGAGTGGATATGATACTGTTTGGCTTAAATAAAACAAAAATTTGTTTGTCCCACAAACGATGGACTTAATATTATTATGCAGTTTAATCTCGCCGAGCCAAGCAGTATTATGGGACATACCACCACATAAAACTGTAAAAAATAGCAATTGCTCATTGCACAATTTGGCCCTAAGCGAGGTGTGGTTTTAATATAATTTTTACACTGCTATATCAAAAACTAAGTAAGCCAGGTTTTAATCCAATTTAGTTTTAGGGGCAAACATGTAAAATGTCACTTATGAAAAAAAGTGGAGTTAATACAGTTTGGCTCTGGGGTACAGATATACTAGTGTTACAATGGCCCTTATTGTGATACCGACTCGGTATTACCGAGTTATTTTGCCGCACGACCGCAAAGCATGGTAATTGTACGGGATAACAATATGTCATTGTAACCTAGGTACTACTTTGACTAATTCGATCATAATTTATCAATAAAATTAAATACATCTTAAAAAAACAAGTAGTTTTATTGCATGATACCTACTAGGTTGTCATAATTGTCGTAAACGTCAATAATTATTTTTTTATATTTCGAGGCCTATAAGAGCTCAATCCTGTTTACTGGGGTGTGTCATTTTGAAGCAACTTTTTTTTTCAACTAAAAAACAGGCTAAAAACTTTAAGGAAGGTGAAAAAAGAAACCTCTAAAAATTTGAGCTCTTAATATTAACATTAAGTGGTGCCTGTTCCTAACTTTCCATTTTCCATTTAAATAGCATGGAAATTTTTTTTATTTTTGTAGCTTGACATTTGAGCATTGTAAAAACGAACTGAAAAATTATTTTGGTAGAAAATTGAACGCTCTACAAAAAAGTTTCAATTAAAGTTGCCTTTAACATTTCGAATCGCGGCACGTTAGCGAGCCTCTAGTCACTGTGTAATCCGAACGGTAACCCAGATAACACAATACATGCCAGAAACATACAATTTATGTACTATTTATGCCCCAATGTTTCGGACTTAAATCGTATATCCCTGCGATGTTTCCTCAGTAACATTTCTGGTGTGATTTCCCCAAGATGTTGCATAAACATTTTAAATAGCTGATATTGGTACAAATATAAAATAAATTTATATCAAAACACATAACACACTATTAAAAAAATAACCAATCAATTTTTAGCAAAACACCAAATTATTATACTTTGTAATTTTTAAATTGAACGCGAACAATGACGTCATACTAGTTACTTTTTAAGTGATTGTTACCTGGGGAATTTTGTTTTGTTTTGTAACCAACTTGTTACAAATATTAAATAAATTTATATTAAAACACATATGTACACTTTATTAAAAAAAATAACCTATCAATTTAGCAAAAACGCCAAGATGTTGCATAAACCTTTTAAATAGCTGATATTGGTACAAATATAAAATAAATTTATATCAAAACACATAACACACTCTATTAAAAAAATAACCAATCAATTTTTAGCAAAACACCAAATTATTATACTTTGTAATTTTTAAATTGACCGCGAAAAATGACCTCGTACTAGTTACTTTTTAAGTGATTTTTACCTGGGGAATTTTGTTTTGTTTTGTAACCAACTTGTTACAAATATTAAATAAATTTATATCAAAACTATATACCTATAGATATATGATCAAAACACATAACACACTTTATTAAAAAAAAATAACCTATCAATTTAGCAAAACCACCAAATTCTTATAATATCAATAACTTTGTAATTTTTAAATTGACCGCGAACAATGTCGTCATACTAGATATTTTTTAATTGATTGTTACCTGGGGAATTTTGTTTTGTAACCAACGGCATCTCTGTAGGTTCGCGGCTTTTATTGCCAAGAATGACATTTCGTGAAAATCGAGAACGTTCTGTGTCGAGAATTTTCTTCTCGTTTTATAATGTGATCACAGTAATTTAAGACTTAAATTAAATTTTAAGTTGTACACTTTAAGTTATTGTTTTGTGTGGGTGGCCTGAGGCGTCTTTTTTGGTAAGTAAATTATGATGATTTGGTAAGAAAACATTATAAATATTATTATAATTAAATTCTATATTAGTTTCTTTTTTAAGGTTTTATTTTTTGTGGGTATTGGTGGCAATAACCTGTATGATTTTATTTCAGACCAGGTCGCACAACAGTTTTCCTTTATTGGGAAAAAGGGCAAAAAAGATTTTAGCCAATCCAAGATTTCTAAAGCTGTTTTAGGTAATAACTCGTCGAATCCGCAAAACCTCGTATGAAAAAAACTGTAGTTTTACAGGAGACGAAAAAAACATTAAAAGCTCTCATATCTGGCTTTTTTTAAATATACCTATAGGACAAATTAATTTGTTTTTAAGGGTCTTGAGATTATCTTGGGAGATAAGAGGTTTTACAATCATGTGCATTATTATATCGACCCATGCAACGAAGACTATAGTAACTCAAAAAACGTGGGTTTTGACTTACTATATGGCATCAACAGATTTTTTCAAGCTCTATTTGGTGGAAGATTACAGTAACTCAGACATGAAACGATAGGCAACCAGTGAACAACTTCCCTGTATAGTAAGTGTAATAATCCACATTCCTACAGGCGAAAACTAAGTTGAGTTATAACTCAACCTAGTTTTCGCCTAGAGTATACTAGAGTATACTCTAGTCTACAATCAAAACTGAGTTACAATAGTCTTCGTTGTATGGGTAGATATGAGGTAAGTATTTAATTATGCAAAAAAAATCGATTTTGTCAAAAATGTCTCAAACGAGTTTTTGCGGATTCATCGATGAAGAGTTTTGTAAATTTTTATCTATTTATTTTTATTTATGCGTATTTTCAGTTATGTTAATGGTTTTATGTTAATTAAATGATAAAAGTATTTAATGTTTTTTATTTAAGGAAAAAACCTATAAAAATTTCATAAATGTTTTGTATGAAACATTTCTGTTATGTTCTGAAAGTAAATATAAAATGTCTTAAAGACATACCTACAACATTCTAAGATGATCTCAAAACATCCCAAAAGGATGGCCGTGGGACGTTAAAAAGGGCGACATGGTCATTGCCAGAAACATTTCTGGTATATCTGTGGGAAAATAGGGTCATTCCTGGGATGTTTCTATTGTCGCATGCATATGTTTCTGGCATGTTTCTAGTATATACTTGTGTTATTAGGGAATATACCGACTGAGCCGAGATAATCTTTTATCAGAGTTATCGACTTTAAAATTATAAAAAATAAAGAAAAATTAAAAATTCAATACAATAATAATTATTGAACCAATTTATTGAACACAAATAACTTTTTTTGATAGTAAATAAAATAAAATGGAAAAAAATTGAGATGTAAGTGTTATTTTCTTTCTATACGAAAATAACTATTTTTTCTTAAAATAATTTTTAATACAAAAAAAGTATTAGTTTAATAAAATAAAAGTCATAATTTCATACATTTGCAAGTTTGAATACCTTCAGAACGGCTTACTCTATGAAAAAATAAATTAGTACTTTTTTGTAGAGCGTTCAATTTCCTACCAAAATAATTTTTCAGTTCGATTTTACAATGTTTAAATTTCAAGATACAAAAAAAATAAAAAAGAATTTTTTTTCCATGTTATTTAAATGGAAAGTTAGGAACAGGCACCCCTTAATGTTATTATTAAGAGCTCAAATTTTTAGAGGCTTCTTTTTTCACCTTTCTGAAAGTTTTTAGCCTGTTTTTTAGTTGAAAAAAAAGTTGCTCAAAAATGACACACCCTAGTAGGGTGTGTCATTTTTGAGCAACTTTTTTTAGGGTGACCCTACTGTTTACTTTAAGTACTTCTAATTATTTTACTTACATTTTAATAAAATTTAAATAATAATTAGGCCCATAATTTTGAAAAACATGGAAATACGAGTTTTTAATACATTGTTGACAGTTGTCTATGAAATGGTAAAGAAAATTTTGTCATAAAACTTCAAGATGTATTTACCTTTACTCTTTGGGTCATTAAAGCGCCAACTTTATTATATAAAAAATAAAGAATAATATTATAAAATATTCTAAAAAAGCAACGCTAGGAGAGCCACCACATTGCCGTTATCAACGTAATTATCTTTGATCAACGTAACAAAACTACAACTTTTAATAATCAGCTGTCAAACGCGTATATTACAAACGAGAATTTGGCCGAAAAATGATAAAAATATCGGGAGAAAAAAACGTGGGACAATTTGTTGTGTTGTTGAGTGTTTTTTGAGAGGAAATCCTGGCTTAGGTTTTTACCGGTTTTGCAATAAACAGTAAACAGCATTTTTTAGAGGACTCAAATATAAAGTTATGTTTGTAGAACAATTATTTTTTGTTGAATTTATTCAAAATATCAAAACTTAAACTTAAATATAAATTATAGTAGGTTTTCATTAGCTAATTCTGCTCCAACAAATACGTACCGAATTGGATCCTTTGGTAAAACATGAAAATGCAACAATTTAGTTCTTCAATTAAATTTATTTCCTGTTAAAAACAAAATAATTCACCATGATTACTTATAACTTAACTATATAAGCGTTAAGTTTCTTATTCAATAATATAAGGAATAACAAATCGAAATCGTTTACTAAACCAGAGTTTTGCAGTTGTTACTTGCAACGGAAAACACAAATAACGTGCGCGATTTAGTTGTGCAATTGATACTTTGCATACAAAATTTGTCGAGTGAAACTTTTGCCTTCCTCTCTTTTGTGAAAAACTACTTATTTATTAAAAAATGTTGTGCAGTTCTTAAGCTTTAATTGAATTCCCAGAATGCTATCGAGCGCCACCAGATTGCGATATGTTTATACATATGTGTGTATGTATTAATGGTTTTCCGGGATCTGCTCCGTGTTGTCGGTTTTTGGTTCTTAAAAGAACCGTATGTCTGACGACGTTTCGGTACAATCTCATCTACCATCTTCAGGTCTTATATGTTGAGCTGCTGTTGCTGCTCTGCTGCTAGTAAAGCCCGCTGTACAATAGCCCGGTAACGGGAACGGGGTAGGAGAGACTAAAAACCACTGTTGATAGATAGGGTTCGCTGAGTCTCTCCCACCTTTACCGTTTATTTTCCCGTTCCCGTTACCGGGCTGTTGTGCAGCGGGCTTAAGACGTAGCAGAGCAGCAACAGCAGCCCAGCAAGAACATGGCAATGACTACCACATAATCAAGTTTTGCCACGTTCAAGGTTTAGGAAAAGTTTCGAAAACCTTACCAAAACTGGTATAGGTACCCACTTTACTATTATTATTATTATTATTATTATTATTATTATTATTATTATTTAAGTGATACTGAAGTGATGTGGTTTAGACCGAGGGGTAAACCACTGATTTTTAAAAATTAAAAATCGCTTACGAATTAACGGCTAAGGATAACAATAACAAGGGTAGTCATGTACAACGCGTCGCTAAGCACTGATTAAGCACCGATTAAGCAAGTTTTCCTTATTGATAACGATTGATAAGGAAAAAAATCTCAACACAACGTCCACTAACATTGAACGGTTGTTTCTAAGATTAATAGGTTAAGGTAATAAATGTAATAAAATCATCAAGCTATTTGAAAAGCGCTTACAAATGCTTTAAAAAAGGTTAAACTTGTAATGAAAATTAAAATTTTTATAAATATTTATTTATAACATAAAATACACAACAATAAACTAAGTAACTAATATTCTAAATATTGCACTACATCAGTCATTTGTAGTTAACTATTTATTGCACATGGCCCTTTAGTCTAAAAAGAATTAAACATAATTAATTTTACTTTGGCTAATTAAAAAATAAATAAAAACATTTAGTAACTGCTACTTTTACGACATCTGTAAATTTAGAAATCAAAACGGATTTATAGTGCATTTAATTAATCGAGTTCAGCAGAGAACTTTTTCTAATGCGTTAAGTTACTTTCATAATTTTTTAATTTTATGTAAATACATATATCCGATAGCAGTGGCGGCTCGTGGCAGTAAAATTTGTGAGTTCTGCATTTAATTAAATGGTTCCTACAGTTTTCTTCAAAATAAATAATTAAAAAACATGGTTTTTGGTTCTAAAATGTGAGTGCATGTGTGATAAAGTTCGTTTATTTTGAAAGGGTTAGCAGGGGCTCACCAGGCAAAGAAAATCAGGGGGCTACCTTAACATATGAACTTACCAATATTTTGCCTTGTATTTTCCTGACAGCTTAGAACTCGTACTAGTACACTATTGGGTGGAACTCGTATGAGTTTGTTTACTTAGATTTATTTGTATTGAACTTTTTTCATTTTAATTTTAACATAAAATAGTCACTTTTTGAAGATTAAGTTAATTCTTCGATTTTTTTTCGCTGCAAATATGTCTATAACTTTGTCGTTAAAGTTTATAGTTTCGGTGATAATTTTTTTTCCATCAAAATCATTGATAGAGCCACCAGACGTTCTTCCACCATAGAATTGCGTAAAAAAGTCTTGATGCGATTTAAAGTAGAGAAGGAACGTTCGGCTTCTGCTGTCGACATGGGAATGGTTATCAGTATTTCCAAGAGCTTTTTAGTTTCTTGAAGTGAATTTGTTAAATTATTTTCAATGAGTAATTTTAAAAAAGGTATTGCCCCCTTCAGGTTCCTGCAGTCTGATCTGGAGTATATCACTGACAGTTCTGTTTTTAAACGTTCCTGATCAAGGTTAGGGTACGACTCGCAAGTTGCTTTTAATTTTTCATCAGGAAAACAATTAACGTAGTTAGCAAACTGGTCGGAATAAAACAATGAGGCTGCCAACAAATGATTTTTGTAATCAAATCTATCTTTAGCGCAGTTAATAATTATATCACAAACTTCTAACGCAGCAGTACGGTGATCAAACTGACTGTCATTGGTTCTTTTTCTTTTAGAAGGCATTGCTTCAAAATCAACCGAAAATATTAAGTTATTGGCTTCGTTAATAATTTCTTCTATTGAATTTCTTACTGTCATAATGCTCTGCTCAAAAACTTGTATTTTTTGGTTAATTTCTACAGGATCAATTTTTCTTTTTTGTAACTCATTAAACAAAATATCGGCATGTGGCATGATACGGTGAAAAAATGTTAGCCAAAAAATAAACTTTGGATCTTGCAGCATCCTTCTTATTGAAGAAGCTGCACTACAAACAGTTTGGTTGCTAAATGAATTTTCTATGTCTTCCATGCATTCAAGTATAGACTCTCGGTGTTCAAAAATAACGTTAACCGTTCTAATATTAAAATTCCAACGTGTTGGTGCACCATGTGGAATTCTTATTCCAACAATTCTACTTAGAACAGCTACGCGTTGCGGAGAATTTTTAAAAAATGAAGGTATTTCTTGAAGATTTCCAAAAAAGAGTCGAACTTGGGAACTTCCAGATGCTGCCTTAGACATAATTAAATTTAGCATAGCAGTGAACAAAATGAGCGAACTTGTATTTTTCTTTGACTTGTGCCTGAACACCAGTATTTCTGCCGCTCATTACAGCAGCTCCGTCGTAACTTTGGGCGATTAACTTATCTTTAGAATTTTCTAAAATAGGGTCTAAGACACTAAGAATATCAGCAGTCAAACTCTGTGCATTCAAATTTTTTGGCTCCAAATAAGTCCAAAACCGCTCTACGGGTTCTCCATTTTGAATGTATCTAAAAATTACAACCATTTGAGATTTGGCTGAAACGTCCGTTGTTTCGTCTGCCATAATAGAAATATATGAAACAGTTCGAATCTCCTCTAAAATTTTTTCCTGACAAACCTGCAACATGCAATCCAAAATGTCATTTTGAATTTCTTTCGATATACCTTTAAACACGGTGGAATCTCTCAAATGTTCCCCCACTGTTTTATCAAGTTCAGCGGTAAAATTTATAAGACCACGAAAAATTCCTGGGTTTTCGGATGTCGAAGTTTCATCGTGACCCCTAAGCGCAAGTTCGAACAATCCACAAAATTTTATGCAATCAATGATTTTGGATAACACATACCTGTTTTTTAGAACGTTTTCGTTAAACAATCGAATATTCGTCCAATATGCACTGTCCAGCTTTTCACGAATATTAACATTACCCATCAAACCCAGGTTCATAACATTGTTTAAGTGGTTTTTCGATATTTCATGACGTTTAATTTTTTCGCTTAGGTGCACCAAGTCGGTTACACCAACTATGGTCCAAGTTTTTTCTCCACCAAACAAAAGGCACGGAAAACAAAAAAGGGAATTATTTTTATTGCATCCGCATATCCAGTCGTTTCTGGCATAAATGTCTCTTGTAAAAATCCTTTTATACGATTTTCCCCGGCTTGAACCACACTTTTATATTAAAATATCGGGCAACGGCCGTCCATCTTCTTTTAGTTTTAATTTTTCTTCATACGTATAGAGGGAGAATTTTTTAACATTAATTAAATCATACACCACATTCATTCTTACAAAAGAATACAACAACAAATACAAAACACAAAAATACACTGAATTAACAGTCTTCTAGTTAAAATAACAAACGTCTACGCGAAGCGAAAAACAAACGACCGGGAAGTAAGAACTGTATGTTGGTGCAGCTCCGATTTGGCTAAAATTTCGCTATCTCAACCCAGGACCAAGAGCGGCGCGGAGCAAAATTACGGTATTGAAATGGGAACCAGAACTCGAAAGTGGCCCAGCTTTGTTGTGTTGTAAGCGTTAAGCGTTAGAGATCTTTACCGGTCGTTTGGATGACTGTAGTGGCGACACGGCGAATGTTTATAATAAAAACTGTTTATGCAGCCGTGCGTTTGAAATATTTATACACTGTCGCACTTAAATATTAAATAATTAAAAAATTAGTCAAGTAATAAGACAATTTTGGGAGTTCTGAAGCTCTGCAGCCCTTATGCACTAGCCGCCCCTGTCCGATAGTTGTTACGAAATTTAAGTAACATCCCATTAAATTTCTTAAACTTTTGGAGAATAAATATATGTAGAGAATTAATTCAAAAACGATCAATATTAAATTATTGCACTAGATATTACTCTCTAATTCTAAAAATAAATAACAAATTTAAAAAATAATTTAATGCTGGGCCATATTTTTGTAGGATACTTTTGCATGGTATCCGCTGTCGTCTGCGTAGTATTCTACATTTTGCATCCTTCCATCGGGCAAAAGTACATGGTATTCTCCTTTTGCCATTTTACCATCTCTTTTCTCCTCATGACCAAAATCGTTACCCATTTTGTTGTCCCTGATTTGGTATCCAAATGCGTATTTAGCTGCATATTGAAGCTGTAAAAAAATAAAGTATTTTAATAAAATTTAGACAAAATAATTAAAATTGTTTATAAATTAAGTTTCTTGTTTCTTCTAAACACTTTTTTATAAATTATGTTTGTTCTAGGTTTTCTACAAGATATTCAGACCTCACAGACTATTTTTTTGAATGCAGTAATTCTATAATAAATATTACAGCCTATATAAAATGAGAGCAATTGTAAAAGCTAAGGTATACCTATAGCTTCATAAATAAACAAGAAACTAACTGTCTTAAAAACAAAGCAAGATATTAATAAATTAGCTTGGTCGACATGTTATGTTACTAATAGTAACTTACTATAGCCCCAACATCCTATATATAACAGAAATTTATAAAAAATGATATGGGCGACTAGTAGGTAGTCACTATACCAGTCATATCTACTATAGACACATTCCATATTGCCACGAACGTAAAATAGACTTCAAACAAGCCTTTGATAATAAAGGCCGTAAACCTTTGATAAAAGTTAGGTATAAATAATAGAAAAATTAAAAATTGCGTGCATATGAAGATGAAAAGTATACCTACTTGTCGTCATTATAATGATGACAGAAGGATACTTAATCAGAAGAATTTGAATATAATAAAGGCATCATTATTTATTTTAGCCATAGAAGGTGTCATGAGATCGACAGGCATAAAATGGTTTATAATTCAGAAATATGCTCTCTAAAAATTTTGTTTGTCAAAAATTACTAATTTAATAGTTATTAGTGACTGCTTTTTCACTTGAACCATGGTTAACCATGGAATACCATAGTATCCCAAAATTTAACCCGTCTATTTGGGGCCAAATTTAATTTTTAGGTATTTTTTGTTAAAAATTAATATCTTAGATTCATGGTAATTAAAACCATATCGATCATATGTAGCTTAAATGTTTTTTATTTAAAAATATATATTTATAGTTTTCTTCAGATCTGCCTTTTTAGGCTTTTTTGTGTATAGTATATTTTGTATTATTATCAATTTGTAACTTTCATGCTAACAAAGTATTTTCTTATATTTTAGTTAAATAAAACCCCGTAGATTTCGGAAATAAAATTACAAACAACTGCGTTAATAATAAATACAAAATTCAGTACCCTCATTTTTAGAAAAATATCATTTATTTATAAACTAAAACTGATTCATTACAAATACAATGAATATGCAAGAAAAAAATAAAAACTTAGACACATAATTTATTATAAAAGAACTAAAAAGAAAATTAAAAATTATACCGTAAAAAAATAATAATTTTATTCTTTTTCTTCATATAGCTCTGCCCAAAGTTCTAAGAGACGCTTTGGTTCATTTTAGTAGGTGCTAAGCCATAATTCTTTTTAAAAAATATTGAATTGTGATATATAATATTACAAATATGATCAAAATTCACAAAATGACTAACCAGCAAAGTTCTATAAAATTGTCACGTAAACGGTCAGGTCAGACGAGTTTAAAACGAAGTGTATTTGACGAAATCGACGAAATCGCATAAGACCCCATCTGTCCGTTGCCGGGTTAACAGCCAATTCTTATTTAAAATTTTCCCCTGAGAACGAAAATACCGCCAAAAATTATGAAAGAGGAGCAGTTTTGAGATATAGTCAATTTCATATTAAATGGAAAATTGACTATATCTCAAAAACTGTTATACTTTTTTAACTTTTAACGACATTTTCGGATTAAGGGGACAATTTTACATAAGAATTGGCTGTTAAATTTTGGCATTCATTTTTAGAGAGTGTACAAATTATTGCAAACAACGAAAAGCCAAAATAGTAAATAACGAGTAAATTAAGTTTAACTGGCTTTTAATATTGGAAATAATATTAAATGTCAAAAACGACAAAACATAAAATAAACGTATGCGGCAGAGACTATTACCATTAAGAAATCCTCACTCAACATTACTATAACAAGCAAAGAAAAAGAGAAATTTAAATGTTTTAAAAGAAAAATTATAACAAAAATAAACAGACCAGACAGAGTAGGAGAAGAAGAGTTACGAAAATTAATTAATCATAAAATAAATTAAAAAAAAAAACAACGAAAATAAAGTTAAGTTAATAATGTCACACAGACTTAGATAGTTGTTTGGACACGTGTAGGTACAGAAAATACAAAAACAAAGTATTATAAAATAAGATAGTGAAGACCGGTAGAAGAGAGGTCAAGAGGAAGGCCAAAAATAAAATTTAAAGATCAAGTACCTACATAATGAGCTAAAAATATTGAAAGAAAGAAGATAGAAAGAGATAATTATGAATAGACAGGCATGGCAAGGTTATGTCGAAAAGGCCAAAACATACAGGAAACTGTAGAACTGTAAAAGAGCGAAAATCCACCATAGAAAAGGGTCCTACAACCTCCGCTCAATGTCTGAAGGAGTCTCATAGATAATATAATAGGTATAATTATATTTTGTATCTGTGCGTACGTACTGGGCACGCTACGTACTGGTAGGCATAAATGGTTGATAATAATTAAAAAAATACTCGCAATGGTACTTGACACCATTTATTTACATGTTGTACAAACAAAATTTCTTTAATTTTATACTCAATAATATTACTATGACATTAGTTTTGGTTTTAGGTGTAAAAGGAACACCACGTGAAAGCAATCTATCCGATTTATTATTGCATAGAAAGTGCAAACATTTTATCTCATTCTTGATTTAATACCTTATTGTCCCCTGTCAGCTATATAATGCGCTTGCTTGGACAATATTTATTGTTTGACAAAGCAATATAAATGCGAGAAATTAAATATTCGATTTAGTTGGATGCTAATGGTTATTTGTGGCGACGAAAATTTTGAATAGGTCCCAATATTAATTAATTTTTAATTAATATTATTGATAAGGGACCAATAAATAATATTACTTTGTAAAATTAAACATTTATTTCTATAAATTAATACAAATTATCCTATTTTTGTCAAAACCTTATTTATTTTGCTTCGAATCTTTTTTAATTTTATTACATTAAAACCTGATCGTTTATGAGGTAGGTAATGTTTGCGCTTTTTGTAATTCAATTTGTGCATACCACCTTTATTATAGTGTGCCCCCTGATTTTTATTTACATTGTTAATTACTATTATAGTTTTGGAATCTTTATCTTTTAGAGTAAGATCATGTAAAGAGGTATATCGCTTGGGGTTGTTAACATAAGGACGTCGCAAGGGCAATGATTTAATTTGTTCTAAAGATTCATAGAGAGATATGTTTCTGTTATTAGAACTGGCAACATCTAAAGGATAAAAAGTGGAATCGTTAATGAGAGTGGTGCTATCGTAATCACCATCATCGTAATCAATGTAACTTTTATTATGCTCTGTGTAATAGTCATAGTCTACCGGTTTTAAATCCGTATCGCGTTTGTGAATTACATGGTTAGTAAAGTCTGACATTTTGGCGTTTATGATATTACTACTTACATCTTGATTTTCGTCATGTTGTCTGTATGGTCTTGAATTTATTTTGTTGTCACTATCTTCGTCCAAAATTACTTCGTGGTAGGTGGTCGGAAGTTGTTGCTGTTCTTTATGAGCTTTCTTCTTCGTTTCTTCGTTTTTTTGGTGGATCAAAGCCGATTGCCTTGCTGCTTCTTTTTGAGCGTGAGCTTGAAGAATGGCTTGGTTTTGTTGTTTGACTTGAGCGGCTACGACTCTTTCGGCTTGGAGGAGGGCTGTGATTTGATGATGGTGTGTAGGGGCGTAAAGATCCATATTGGGTTTGGCTGATGGTATGGCAATTGTTTTATAATTAGGTACCGGAATTATATAGTTTTGTGCTGCCTTTATTTCGTGCGCATGCTGGGCTACGAATTTCGCTTTGGTTTGAAGAGGGTGAGTTTGGAATTCTTTATTGAAAGTTTGAGCATCCACCAATTTTGCCGTCACTGGGGCTGCTGATGGTTGATGTTCAATAGTGTACGCCATTTCAGTTGGTTTGACATGTATTTGTTGTAATTTGGAAGGATAAATTGCCTTAACATCCTTTACTTGAGGTGATGGGATATAAATAACTTGGGTTGGTTTTGGAGATGTCGAGGAAACAATGAAGGTTGGTGGTGTTGGAGAGTTGTATCGTACTTGGTGATTTTGGGGGATTTGATGTTGCAATTGAATCTGATGATTGTTAGGGCTTCGAGATGGCAATTGTTGGAATTGAATTTGGTGATTTTTAGGCATTTGGGGTGGCAACTGAGTCTGGAAATTTTTGGGGATTTGAGGTTGTAATTGCCTCAAGTGATTCTCAAAGGTTTGGGGTGGCAATTGTGGCAACTGAATCTGTTGATTTTTAGTGATTTGTTGTGTGAATTGTGGCAACTGAATTTGGAGGTTTTGAGGTACTGGCGCTGTAAGGGCTAGGGCTTGAGGTAAACCTTGAGACGAGCCTTTGTTTTGCGCGGCTATTTTGGCGTAGGCCTCCTTGTTTAATCTTTCAGCAGCTGCAGCAATAGCTTCGTGTTGAGCTTTGACGTGAGCCGTTGCTTGTTGTTGTGCTTGTAGTAATACATTTGAAGTATGTTCTTTAGAAGACATGTCTAATTGATCTTGAAGTTGTTTTAGTATGTTTTGATCCACGACTTTTGTACCGGGCATTTCATCTTGGTTTTCTATAATTGGTTTAATGGGCATGATCTTATTATCAACAGTAAATATATTATTTGCCATTGGTCCATCTAATAATTTCCTTAACTCCTCCATTTGCACGTTAGGGTTTTTGCCAATCAAATCACTCAAAACTTCATAGTTATTATGTTCTCCTGTTGGTAATATAGCAGCACTTTTAAGAATCTTTTGGGCTTCTTTAGGGTCAATGCCAAAATTATTTTTCAAAATATTTGGTTGGATGTAAATGTATCGGGGATGTGCTGCGCTCATAATTTGGTCCACTTCATCCTGTCTCCTTTCAAATTTGTCTGAATTTCCTTCTTCTTTTTGAAAATAACTCATTGGTTTTAATTTTTTATTGCTTCTTTTCTCATGTTTATTGTTTACGTTGGAAGGTGCATTAACTTTCATTAGCTCCAAATTATTGAGTACTGCTTCTTGAGTTTCACTTGCTTCCATGTTTTCAGGATGTATAGGTACCCAGTCATTATCATTATTTTTTGTAATGAGTTTAGTGGGAACATTACTGGATCGGCTTCTTCTATCACTTGGTCTTTTGGTATTGACATTTTCTAAATTTTGTATATTTTGCAAATCCGCCTGTTGCTGTAACGCATATCTATTTCTCTTAGGATCCTGTTGCATCGCGTTTTGAAAATTAAATACATGCTGTTGATATGCTTTTGGCGGGCTTGAGGTTGTGTGATCTTCTGAATTTCTTACAGCTCTCACATTGTGTTCTATTTGTTTTTCTTCTACCGGATGGGTTACGGAAGCAGTTACCACGCTGATTAAGCAGACAATCTGAAAATATTAAGTAGGTTTAATTGAGTAATATTTACTAAAAAACACAATTTATATATTCTTTAAAGACCATTCATTAAAATAAATATATTAATTTTTATTTAATTTAAAAATTTTATAAAATCTTACTATCCATTTACACAAATATATTGTAATTATAATTTATTTGAAATGAATGGATTGTTATCTAGCGTAAAATTTAATTTAATGACAATATTTTTCGATAAAGGTAGGCATTACAATAATCCCTTGAAAGTAATTGAATTAAAAAAAATTATAAACTAAAGTATAAAATATAAATATATAAGTAAATTTTTAAAAAATATATAATAATCATTTTAAAAGTTAGGGATTCGATTTTAACAATGGACATATCCCAAGTAAAAAATATAAAAAAAGATTAAAACATGTTTAAAAAAAACAACATAAAACTTGTATTATGTACAATTTCGCTATCATTTCGTTAACATCAAAATTTAAAACGGCCTTTATGGAGGTTATTAATCTATGTGGACAACTACTTCCGGTTAAAATTCCGTATTCACCACTGGATGTTATATCAGTGTGTCCACAGATGGACTTCAATTTTTCGAGGAAAAGTCATTATTCATAATTTCTTTTTCTAGTTATATAAATCCGATTCGCCTTGAGAAACTTTTATTTTGTTATACAGGGTAAGCAAAAATACAGATTTTCAAAATTAAAAATTTTTAAATAATTTTTTCAAAGTGCTAATATAAAGGTAAGGTGGTAAGGGGATAAAAAAGGCAAATGAAGTTTTTTCATATGAGAGATAATCAAAATTAAAGATATTATTTTTCACATTTTAACAAATAATTGTAGACATTGCAAACATTTCAGTTAAAAGCAACAACCTTGATTCATAATCACAAATTGAGATAGCAGTCAATTTCTATAAAATCATAGGACCACTCAAGTTAGGACCTGAATCCATTTTATTTTTAATAACAAATATCTTAGTAACAACTCGCATGAAAAAAATTCATTTGGTTTTTGCTAACTCCTAAGAAGCTCTTCATATTAGACTTTAAAAAAATGTATTTAAAAATTTTTAATTTTGCAAAATTTACAATTGTATTTTTTTGCGCATCCTGTACAACAAAATGGAAGTTTCTCAACGTGAATCGTATTTATATAATAAACAAAAGGAATTATGAGAAATGACTTTTTTTCGAAAAGTTGAAAATAAACAATTTTACAAGTATAGTTGTGGACACACTGTATATATTTTAAATTCAAAGAAAACTCTAAATTTGGTAAATGCAGAGTTTGTGTAGATTTTAAGTATAAGTATATGAACAAATCGAGATATATTTTGACTATATAATTTTGTTATTAGATTCACCTTATAAGTTGCATTTTTATTTGTTTTAATATTTAAATTAAAAAAAGCGTTTAATACTTTTTTCTACTCCCACCTATAAAACACACGTTATCCTTATTGACTTTTTCGGGCTTTAGTGACGGGCTAAAGTTAGTTGCAGTTGTCAAATGTCATACAATCGCCAATCGATTTTTATTTATTGTTCAATTTTTTTCCGGTTATTTATTTTTCAATTTTCCTGTTCGTCTTAAGAAAAGTATAGTATTAAATTTGTTTTATACAGTCCTCTAGAAACTCTTTTATTAAACACTCGCTCGCAAGCTTTGCTCATACCAAATTTAAACTCGTGATTAAAATGGCCTTTATTAAACTCACTTAATAAATCACGTAAATGCAAATTATAAAAAAACATCCACATCGTATACGATGTGGATCGTATATATAATTCGTATATATAATCGTATATATAATTTTATAATATAGTTATGTAGTTCATAAGTTTCAAATACAGGGAGTAATTATTTATTACTTATTTTTTTTTTACTAAGGAATCACCATTTAATTTTTTCCGAACCATTATGTTACAACAAGTATACTTATACCTATAGGTGTATTTAATAAACACCTTCAGGTTTAAACTTTGAGCAAGCAAAGTTTTTCAAACCTATATTTTTGCGTTTATTGTGGTTTTATTTTTCTATTATCCACACTAAAATCGTACGTTTAAAAATTGTTTTTATCGCGATTTATATATTTTTTAAATTTTTGCAAAATGTATTTAGTAAACAAATAAAATAAAGGAAACAAATACGGTATAATTAAAATGGAGTAATATACTTACAAGAAACTTATCCATATTAAGCTTATTAGGACCCAACAACACACTAAAAATTTAACACCACTCGCGACCTTGCTCTTGTGATATTAACATTGGTACTGAAGAATATCCGCGAATCACTTTCCTTTCTATACAAGTCCGTCGGGCAGGAACATAATTTATCAATCTTTCTAAAGATACTTTTCTTTGTCGGATCTCAAGCAAACATCGGCATGTTGGAACGAATAAGAATACATCCGATGCCAGGTGGAAGTGGTAGGTTACTTATGCATTTCTCTTGGAACCTGTAGATGTCTAGATTGACCATAAATAAAAAAATTTCAATAAATTAAAGACAAATTTGTGTGCATTTTTTTACTAAAATATGACCAAAATACCATACATTAAATAAGTCCATGCATTAACAGAGAAATATTGCAATATGTCCTAATTAAACCTAGGAAAATTAAATTTTATATATTCCAAAAGTTATTCCCATTAAAAAACATGTTTTAACTAAGGTTTAAATCAGCAAAATGGTAGTTAAAACAAGCTCGCTTAATTAGATACAGGAAGGTGAAATATGACTTGGGTGAGAATAGGGTAATTTTTTCGAAAATATTTAGGTTTATGTAACAGAAGGAACACATATTTATAACAATAAAAAAAGTCAAAAGGGCCTCATTATCCGCCGCGTCGGAAAATGACGACCCCAAAGTAAACCTGCTCTCTATTTACAGAAATTGCATGTATACGAGGTGTGTTCAGAAAATAACGGGAATTGTTAAATTTCGCGGGTTCGGAGGGTCCGGTTGTCATAAAATTTTCTGTATTATGTTGGTATACATGCCCCCAAAGTATGATAAAAACTTTAGCTGTTTTCATTGTTTACTTTGTCGGTGGCAGCCGCTAAGGTTAGACGTGTTTAATGAGCTCGGCGATTTTTCGTTCGTTAAAAGAAATGGATCAAAGAATTTGTATCCAATTTTGCTTAAAAAATGAAATAAATTCTGTGAAATGAAAGGCCTATAGTGAGTCTGCTATAAGTAAAACAAGACTTTACAAGTGGTATAAGAGTTTCCAAGATGGCCGTGAAGACGTTGAAGATGACGAACGCCCCGAACGCACAAGCACATTAACAACCGATAAAAACATGGAATAAATGGTTATAAACCATTAGAGAAGTCGCTGATGATGTTGGTATTTCGATTGGCTCATCCCATGAAATTTTTTCGAATGTTTTGGTTATGAAACGCGTGGTAGCAAAATTTGATCTAAAATTGTTAAATTTTGAACAAAATTTTTGGCCAAAAACAATACTGTAATGATGCCCCAGCCTCCATATTCGCCAGACATGCCTCTGCCTGACTTTTTCCTATTCCGAAAAATAAAGAGAACCTTAAAGGGCCGTCGTTTTGCAAGCAGAGATGACATTAAAAGCGCATCACTGAAAGAACTAAAGGCTATCCTAAAGATCGAGTTTTAGAAGTGTTTCGAGTATTGGAAGAAGAGCTGGCACATGAGCATAATATCCAATGGGAACTATTTTGAAGGCGACATTAATGTAGATATTTGTTTCAAAAAACTAAAATTCCGGAAATTTTCTGAACACACCTCGTATGCTCATTTTTTGCTTGCACCTGAGCATTTGGCATACTTCCACTCAAGAGTATTGAGTCTTGAGTCAAGTCACATTACACATCTGTAAAATTACGTTGGCCCTGCTAGATGCAGGATCATCCTCATTCACATTTGAAGCTGCATCTGGTACAGCTTCTTTAGGCTATTATAGTTATTACCTGAAATTACGGATAAAAAACAAAATCTTCATAAAAATATCAAAAACATAGTAACGAAATCGTAACAAAGCCTTTTGGTACAGAAACTAAAGTAGTAACGTTTCTCGTGCATCGAAATTGTAAACTAACCGCATTAAATAAAAAGAAAACTATTGCCTTGTAACGTTTTCTGTTGATGAATAAATGAAGCACCGTACTTATAAAATACCCTTATAATTTTGTAAATATTAGTATATTGTGCGACTGGTCGCACGTAAAGCACGCCAAAAGTCGCAAACAATGTTTTATTCAGTTTTAGCAAGAAATATATATTCTTACCTAAGCGACATGCGCTATTTACCCGCGCTACTTACAAGCTTGATTTACCTGTGCGACTTACTCGTGCGTCGTACTCGCGAGTTAGCGCATCTAGTGGGAGAAATAGCATTTTGCCTACGGGCAGTTAGCTTTAGGTTAAAATTGGAAAAAAGTGGCGTTAAAAATGTTTTATATGTCAGGAGAAATCTCCTCTTTCAGAAGTCGCACAATATACTATTAATAGAATATGAATTTTCTTCACAATGTCAATACTTGACAGCTACTAGACAGATCACAAATACTTTTACCAAGACTTTGTGTTCTTGTGCATTTTGTAAAAGTGTTTAATAATTCAACGTTTGGTTACAGTTTCGTTACTCAGTTAGTGTTACCAGTTTCGTTTTAATATCCCGTAGGTATTTCGGTAGTTGTTGCGCATGTGCAATTTTATCAAGATTTAGTTACTCGTTTTGGTATCCTTGGATACTTACATGAAGAACGATACCCGGTGTCGGATACCGTAACAGAAAGCGTAACAATTGAATGTCACAAACACAACACCAACACCAATTTTCTGACCCTTTAATTTAGGGTGTGGGGGGCCCTGTAAGGGAAATATTTACCGGGCCCTAAAATCACCCCAGCACGCCCCTGACAACCTGCACAAAACTTTAGCAGGAGCTGGTGAAATATATAACGTAGAAGGCCGATTAACTGTCTTGAGATAATATTTTCCATTTATGCACTGTAGATAATATCTACATATTATGTATGATGTTCATAATTATGCCTAGAATGTATTTTTATGTATTTGTATGTAAAGCATAATGACAAATATGGTTTTACAAACTTATTACAAAAAATTTAATACATTTTTCTATTAGGATAGTTTGTACAATTAATTATAAAGTAGAGTAGCGAAAATAAAATAACAACAACTCATGTCAAGTTTAAAATTTTTATAATTAATCTAATTTAATATTAAATTAAATCCTAATGTTCTGTATAATTTTTCAATTAAACTTTGTGTTACGTTGAATAAAATATAATATTACCAAATTTCTATTTAGCAAAAAAGTATTATAAAAAGGGCAGAAAGACCACGTGGTCGATAGCCTGTTGGAAAACCAATAAAGATGTTTATTATTATTATTATTATTATTATTATTATAAAAAATATGTCTTAAATTTTGTCACAATGTTGGTTCCACTTAGGGCATAATCATAAAATTTTGTCCTATTTTTAAAACATTTCTATTAAAATTCCATACTTTTTAAGTTGGTTGGTTGGAAAAAATTTGGAAATTAGCATCTTACTTCTTAGCCACAGATATTTCTTAAATTTTATAGGTACTATAAAATAAAATGTATACATGTATATTAGGGTGTGCCAAAAAAACTCCATATTTTTTTTTCTTGCTCTCCACCCAAAATATCGTAGAATATGTTCGAACAAATATTCTGTTAAAAGCGGAGCTCATAATTTCAATTTTAAGAGGTACTTCATAGAATCTGAAGTTTTGCCGCTTAAATAACACAGAAAACTGACTTTTTTACCTTATTTATTCTTGCAACCTAGGAAGAATTTTTTTGTTCATAAAATCCATGTCTAATTCTTACAAATCATTAAATTTGGACAAAAAAATCTTATTAAGCCGAATTTCTATTTTCATTATTTGATTTTTTACAGAGCTTTAAATTTAAAGTTAATAATACAAAAATGATGACTTTATACGCCTGTAACTTTTAGAATATTGCAATACAAAAAATTCGCCAAAAACTTTTTCATGGTCCATCAGACAGGCTAAAAAATTGCCATTTGACTTTTTCGTCTAACTTCAATAGTTTAGCTGAAAAGGCAAAAAACGTAAAATTTTAAATTTAAAGCTTTGTAAAAAATCAAATAATGAAAATAGAAATTCGGCTTAATAGGATTTTTTCGTCCAAATTTAATGCTTTGTAAGATTTGGTCATGGATTTTATGAAAAAAAAATTTCTTCCTAGGTTGCAAGAATAAATAAGGTAAAAAAGTCAGTTGTCTGTGCTATTTAAGCGGCAAAACTTCAGATTCGATGAAGGACCTGTTAAAATTGAAATTATGAGCTCCGCTTTTAACAGGATATTTATTCGGACATATTCTACGATATTTTGGGTGGAGAGCAAGAAAAAAAATATCGAGTTTTTTTGGCACACCCTAATGTATATGCATATGTATTATAATAATAATCGGCCCACCCTATAGGGTGGGCCGATTTAACATGTAATATCTAAAATTTAAAAATTTTAAATTCTGCTTTTAAGAAAAAGTCGTGAAATAGGAAATTAAACATTTTTTGTAAAATATTTTTTTTTATATCTTTGTTTTGAACTACCACAACACCTCTAAAAATTAAAATTCTGCATAAGCGGAAAAGTTCTGAAACAGAAAAGTAAACTATTTTCCTTTGATGTTTTGAACTGCATGAAGTTAAAAACTGTAAATTTTAAATCATGCAATTATTGAAAAGACGACGTAAAATGGAAAACATTTTTTTAAAGATTTTCGTGTTTGACGTGTGACAGTTGGCAGTTGGCAGTTGGCTTCACGTTTATATAAATTATAATATTGTGATATTGTGATATGTTTTGAACTGCATGAAGTTAAAAACTGTAAATTTTAAATCATGCAATTATTGAAAAGACGACGTAAAATGGAAAACATTTTTTTAAAGATTTTCGTGTTTGACGTGTGACAGTTGGCAGTTGGCAGTTGGCTTCACGTTTATATAAATTATAATATTGTGATAGCTATCACGCTAGCGTGAATTGAAATCACGCAATATTATGCCCTAAACTAAATTTGTGTTGATGATAAAGTCATTTTTGTTTTCGTTTCTTTTTATAATAATAATTATCATTCAAAACTTTTTTTATCCTATTTTCTCCGAGATAATTTTTTTTCGT